CTCCTCTCTCTCTCTCTCTCTCTCTCTCTCTCTCTCTCTCTCTCTCACTCTTCGACGAGGAAAATGCCATTTTCTCTTACGGCTCGGGGAGACGCAACCGATGCGATGATTTTCACAGATATAAAAAGAATGAAAGATTTAGTTATATAATTGAGTTAATTACATAAAAAAAAATTACACAAAAATTGGATTATACAATTCGATTTTTAGCCATTCTCGAGTTCTCGAGGTAATTTTACACGGTTTGTTTTGCTTTCCAACTAAATTTTTCTAATGTCCCTCTTTGTCCTTAGGTAAGCTCTTTCTGAATTTAAAGATCGTAAAACTGTTTCGCCGAGATTAGGTGCACCACGCACTCTTCTCTTTCGGATGTCGATTCGAAAATCATGCTTTGCACGCGGTAATTGCGTAATCGCACTAGTTCACGCACCCGCACGGCGATGTCGATTTTCGCAACGCGAGAAGAAAGACGCGTTGAATCCATGTTTGGTAGATCTTTCGGTGCCTCTTCTCACGCTTATTTTCCTTTTTTTTTTGGAATACAAACTTTATTTTTAATACTTTGTGTGTCCCTTATTAACCGTTACTATAGAGTTATTATTGAGTATTTCTCTCTCTTATTCCCGTTCATATATAGGTAATATATCCAGATTTATGATGTACAAGCAAATCTATGTTAGGATTAAATATGGGATTTCTATAACAGAGATTGAGTGTGTCTTTAGCTTTTTCCGTGGACCTTACAAAATAAAAATCCTGCTACCGAAATTATAAAGGAACGTTTAAATTATGATCATCTATTAATCTCTTCTTAATCAAGACATATAGCTACTTATTCAAAACATGTAAATTTTTGTGGAATAAACTTAGAACATCGATTGCTATGAATATAGTCATTACAATGATACCGTTATTTTGTGATTATAAAAATGAATACATTATAAAATAATTTAATAATTGACTATTCTTACTTCGCTATTAAATAAATTATAATCATATAACAAAAAGTATTTTTCTCAACATTTATAAGAGATTTAGAGATACAATCGATATATAAAAAAGTGTTTCCCTTCATCTTGAGAAGAATTGATAAGTAGAAAAAAAAAAAAAGAGTGATCACCTGTTCACAAGACAAGCCTGTTATGCCTTAATCAAAGATCCAACTTATCAGATCCTGTCTCGAGCGTTTTCTACCGCGTTCAAACAAACGAGACAGACATCGTTTGAGACGTCGATTAGGCAATATATCAATCGCGCGCGATCGTAAGTGCGCGTATGCTAATGACGATGTTTCGAAAGATCCTAGATTGAAGAATGAGAAATTCGAGGGCCTAATGGCTGGAACTTTGACGCGCTGTCAGATGCAATATCTCGCCGGGAGCTGTATAATGTGCTCGTCGGTTGAGAGAAAGCACGAGTACCCTCCAACGAACAAGTTGCGGACTAACGCCGTGAGTGATTGTCCCTAAGAGGGGCTACTACTTTCGCTCTTTCCGCCACTCGACCGTAAATTCCAATTTTCGCTCTCTTGTCCCGCCGCTTTTACCTGCGGCGATTTCCATACCGTTCGCGTCTAAATATGAAAGCGAACGATCAATTGGTTCGGCCGAATTGAGATTTGCCACAGTTTCGATGCGCCGCATTCCTCGCCATCCTTGCATTCGTCATGGAGAAGTTTGCAAGAAGCGCAGCGATTTTTCGTGTCGGAAAATTCTGATGTAACTAATTACGATTTTACGTCGTGCTTCTGACATAATAATTAATTGAGCAAGAGAAAGAAAACTTTTACTTTCTATTTATAATTAAAAAATGTAATAGTTTAACGCGATTATTTAATCTTCCTCGGTAGAAGAGTGAAACTTTAAAATTAATTAATGTTATGTGCTAACGGTAATGCAGCAAGAAAGATAATTATTATTTAACGGTAACAGAAAACATTTTTTACCGAGATAAGTTGTGCAGTGAGCATTTCGCGTTTATCATTCGCAACGATCGCGTTGCCTTGGGATTTTCACCGTCTGAGGAAATGATCCTTAACGACAGATTCATTATCGCATAATCAAACGATAAACACGTCGCGAAAGGATAATGCGGCATAATTAGGTGTACTCACGCTCCAACAGCTTCGATTCCGCACGCGAATAGGCAGCTGCGGGGAAAGAGTGATCTATTACAGCGCAACTTTCATCGTACTTTCGCAGCGGGTAAAAGTGTCGGTGACAGAAAGAAAACACACACGGGATTATTATCATTGTCATCGTTATTATTATCAAATACATTAATGGGGTATTAAAAATAGAGGGACGGGCTCGCGCCCCCGCTGGAACGGTGACGGTGCGCGGCGATCGCGTGTCCCGGAAGAGAGCTCGCAATATTTACAGAAATAAAATGAGTATTATTTTCACATGTATGCCGTATGTGTCCGTACGCCTCGCGTGCATGCGTGCATGCGAGACGTGCTGCAATGCCGCAGGCGTCGATGACGCTTCGAAGGATTATCGAAAAGTGCGTCCACTTCGTAGGAACTCTTTTTCGAACGTCGTTTTCCCTCTAATTCATCATGACGACAGAACGACGTCGAAACTCGTAGAGTGCTGAAGAAGTCATCAAGATATGACGCACTTTTCAGCGTCCCTCTGGGCCTGATTCGACGACGATGAGGATGCGGGCGCGCGTTTCCGCGCGCATGCTACCGCATCATTCGGCACGTAAGAGATCCGGACGCCGCCGTAAGCTCGTCGTGGTGGTAGCGCGTAAGCCGCGGCCTCGTCCGAGCTGCTAGACGAGCTGCACGTCGAGCAACAGCTCTCGGCATCGTCATCCTCACCATGCATTCTCGACCTGGACGTACCCGCCGTTCCTACAAAAATATGCTTCAATTAGTGAAAATACTACTTCTCTCTACATTTAAAAATAAAAATATGAACTGAGTTAGAACTCCCTCAAATATTTTTCCGAATTTTATAATACTTTACATACCCCAAGTTGACGTACTGGCGACCTCGTCAGGCTGCAAACTTCTCGATCGAGACACGATTGTTCTCGATAACGATGTCGGCGGTGGCGAGGGAGATGACGACGAGTTCCGGTCGTTCGTCGGCGAGAGAGGGATGCGCGACGTCGCGCCGTGATCGTTGACATCTAGATCCCCCTGGAATCGCACGCGTCGCGACGTTGGCGTCGGTGGATCTGTCTGGCTGGCTCCAACCCCGATTCCGGAATTGGCCGGCGATGTCGCCGGCTCCTGCGCCAATGGGCCGGCGGACGCCGCGCCAGCGGTCGATGTCGATATCAATACCGACGCTCCCGACGACGGCCGCGGGGGTGGCAGTTCCGGCATGCTCGACGCGTGGGAAGGTGTACAATTCTGGATACATCTAAGAGGTTCACGATCCCGTGCTTGCATCAATCTGCAAATGCAATTGTCAACATTAACGCATTTGTAAAAATGGGAAATGCTCTATTTATTACATAAATACAAATTTCAAGATATATATTTGATATATATATTATTTTTTTTGTTGCAAGTACCTTTATTACATATTTTTTGAGTATTTAAAAAAGTTTTAGATTATGATTCAAAGACTTAATTTTACTTAAAAAAATAAATAATAGAATTTAGACTTAAATCGCTGACAACGTATACTTTTGTAATGCAAAGAAAAGTATCGTACCTTCCCAACTCGCCGCAGTTTTCATCAGGATGAGAGCCTCGCTCCTGCAGCAGTCTTTCGAGATTTCGCTCCAAAAGTACCCTGTCAAGACCGCTGGGTCTGGAACCGCTGGAAGGAAGTCCTTCCGCGCCGAACTCGGGGCTCAGAGTATTCTGAATGCTTTGAGTTGGTGTCGTTGCCAACGAAGCGGAAACTTGTTGATGTCTCCTGGTCATTCGAGGTGAATTTCTAGGAGATCCGAGGGTATGTCTCGAGCCTGGAGGAAGTGGAGGTGGCGGTGGTGGAGGTGGACTAGACGAACCTTCGCTCGTGGCCATCGTCTGCCTCCTATTGTTCCTAAGAATAAAATATAACATTTTTTATAATTCGTTAAAAGAAGTATATAGTACATATTTAATATACAATATTCGAACAACGATTTCGATCTTTATATTAAAGATATTTAATATAAAGATATTTAATTATACTGAATAAATATGACCCCATGTTTTAATTAATTATAATTTAGAGTAATTAGAACGGTTTTTATCTCGTTTTATCGTTCATATAATTGAGCAACTATCTTAAAGAGTTCCGTTAATTATTTCTCATTTTGGACTGAAATTATGCCCACCTTTGCGGCATGCTAAAAATCCGTGACAATTAGAAGCGTAATAAAATTTAAACGCGCGACATTCGGCCCTCCTTGTGCACACCTCCGAAACAAGGTCGTTATGTATATAAGCCACATTTACATTCAACCACGAAAAGTGCCAGTCTATAGGTGACGCATTAACATATTTTTAAGCACATGACTTAACGCTTTGCCGATTTCATGGACGATAATATATGCTCGAATATTATCTATAAAATATGTACGTACGCCCAAGCCACGATCTGTATAAACTTGAATAATTTTTTGCCACCTGCATAATAAAATCGTAACGTTTTAAACGCAAATCAAAGACACTCAATAAATATACGAATCGACGATTATTTCTTCATCTGTCGACGATAATCTTAGTGTCGTACGGAACGTAATATCAAAACGGTTTCACTAAATGTCGAGAAACTTTAATCTCAGTGATTCTCCCGTTCCCATCTAGTTCCGCTTCCAAAGCGAAACAAGTTAGGCGGTGAAACCGGCTACATTAGTATAATTTATCACCGTCGTAATAATTTCTCGGCGTGCAACTCCGCTACTCTCTCGCGAGGACTCGGGGGCGGCGTACAGCTCGCGGGCTTGTGCGTAAACGCGGGACGTACGGCTATAATTTTTGCGTACGCGGATCCGCACGCGCGCGCACGAGCCCCCGTAGTCGGAGGCAGGACAATGAAGGCAATCCCTGTGACCCCGGTCCCGGGGGAGGCGAGGCGGTATGCGGGAGAGGCCGCGCGGAGCGCACTCGGTGAGGTACCTGAGGAAGGACGGCGGGGGTGGCGGCGGCCCGGCGGAGGAGTCGCTCGGTGTCGTCGGCGGTTCCCCCTTGCTGCACGCTATGCTGCAGTAAATGGCACCACGTCGCGGCAAGAACGGCCGGCCCAGGAGGGAGGTGCGGCAAGTGGCGCAGCAGAAGCAGGCCTCGGTCGCGTGCCAGTGCTGACCCTCGTGCGACATTTGGCCCTGGTCGACGCCGATCGGCTCGCCGCAGCTGTCGCAGTACTCGGCGAAGGAGGCGTCGAAGCACCTGAGACAGTACGGCCGGCCCTCCCTCATCACGTACCGCTGGCCGCCGAGCTACGGAGCAGAGGAGGATCCGCGTGAATTTACGAGCGGTCCACGGAAGGTGGAGCCGGACCAAGCGGCGAGCGCGAACAAACGAGCCGGATTTGAAAAAAGTAGACCACATTAACACGAACGCGAACCAATTCCGAATTCTCGAGTCAATGCCGAAGGGAAAGGATTCGCTGTACTCTTTCGCGTCCGCTCGTAATTGTCCGTCAACCTTGCCAGCTTGATCCGGAGCTATCTTAAGAAATAAAATACATAAATTTTTTTATAAATAAAAACGTAATTTATGTACAAAGTCTGTCACATTTCACTCTTTCAGAAATCGGGGAGGAGGCTCGAATTTAAAGTCTCGCAGGCTTTAAAAATGAAAAGAGCACCGGTCGAAATTGGCTGGCTGCAAGAAATGTAGTGAAATATGTCGTATAGAAAAACGGTAGCGAATCCCTCGAGTCGCAGCGGAAACATAGTTGTCTTATCTCAACGCGAAGAAGTAAGCATAGCTTCGGTGATAATAGTGCTACACCGGTGACCGGTTATTCACTGGTGCATGCGTTCTACATACGACGTCGATCTGATAAAACGTACGGCTCTTAGAGCTCTCGCTTCTCGCGATATAGATACCACCGCGTTATATCCCGCGTTTTCTCTCGACCGGAGAGAATAACTCTTATATCATCACTTAGTAAATTGCGTCGAGTAAATTTAAATAAAGGCTCTCCCCTGCCCCGGCCCTGAATTTTTCCCAGGTTTCCGCGGCGCGTGATGAATGCGTTTACAAGTTCACACCCGAAGCTAACACAGCCGTGGTGCGAGCGGGCCGGAAAGCGAGCGCCGCTTCTGTGCTCCTCTCGGCGCTATCTAACTCGGAAGACGTATCTCGAGATAGAGTCAGCTGGCGCGGGATTATGAATTGCTATGCAGCTGTAAATTTGATAGCGACGTAATCATTAACTCTCGTCGGCGCGCGTTTCCGATGTAGCGCGGGTACCGTTACGTCGAGGCGATTCGCCGCGGAGAATCGTCCCATGAAAAGTCCGGTATTCTACATTTATATATTTATAAACCCGATCCCCATCATCGCCGGCCATGACCAGTCTCCATACAGAGAGAGAAGCTGCATCGCGCGCGCCGTTATACCGCATGCTCCCACAATCCTGACACGCGAATATCTTCATCTATCGCCCGTTAATGACATGGATATTAATGACGTGGATATATAGAGCAATCTTGCAGCCTTGAAAATTACAAAAATTCCTCTCCATCACTGAAGAAAACTCACTCCTTATATTGCAACATTAGTCCATCCTTTTTCACAAACCATCCCCCGTCTTAAAAAGAAATGGGTGATCGGAAAATAAAAAATAATTCATCATCATTGCCGTCGCATTGACGCCCGCGGCGTTTCCTACCTGCCGGTCGCACTCGAGGCAAGCAAAGTGGCGCATGTGCCAGGCCCTGCCCTCGGCCTCGGTGCACTCGTCGGCGAGGATGATCTCGTCGCAGGCGCAGCAGCGGGGCTTGAGGGTCTCGGCGTGGTGGCGGCCGCAGTAGAGCCTGCCGTCCCGCCAGAAGTAGATCAGGTCCACCAGCAGCTGGCGGCAGACGCAGCAGACGAAGCAGGCGGGGTGCCAGAGGGCGGTCGGGCCCGCGCGGCTCGCCGCCACGGCCATCTCGCCGGCCGCGATCGCGCGG